CTGTAGAGCTTTTAGTCGTCAATATAAGACTTTCTTTCTTTAAAGCTTTTGTTTCAGATTTTACCTGAATAGAACTCTTTGTATGGTCTGTTTTGGAACAAGTCTGTATTTCTCCCAGCCCTGAATTCACTTGTCGCATCAGCTCTTCATTAGCAACATATTGTATTCTAGAGCGTGGTGGAATGGGATTGAAGATGACTTTCTGAGAGCATTGTGTCTCTTGAATGTTCATCATTTSACTTGCCAGTCCTCTTTCCATCACATTCTTGATGTATTCCTTGAYGGCTGGAATATGATGAATTATATTCAAGTTTGTTGTGGCTGTATCCAACTTCTCATCGATTTGTCTCAGCAATTCTCGTTCGTTGTCTTGTAGTATTTGGATGATCTTCTTGGTTTTGTCTTTGACTTCTTTTTTTGCCTTTTCTCCTTGTTGTTTGATTGTGTCAGCAATCTTTTCTTGTTGCTTTTCCTTGTCATCTAATCTCAACTGCTCTAGTACCTGCAGATGCTTTGACAATACAGCTTTCTTGATCGAAGCAAACTTATTCAATGACATTGTCTTATGATTTCTGTGATCGTGTTTCAAGCATGTTCCGCAAATCATTGCATCACAAACTTCACAAAAGAACTCTAGCCTGTGATGAGGGTGACTTGTGCAAGGGTTTTCTCTYGWTATTATGAACTCAATATCTTCTTTCTTCAAATCMGCSAGRCGAACGACCTTGTGATCTTTGATAAACACTGAATGGCTCTTCTCGCATTCATCACACGTCGAGCGATCACAGTCAAAACAATACCAAGAAGCTGACGAATGACTCTCAGAAACAGAACAAGCCTTTTCTCCTTCTAACAACGCCAGACCCTTCAAGATTCTTGAATGTATTAGACTAGGCTGTAGATCTTCAACGCTGCTTAGTTCTGGTAGAGATGTTTGTGATTTGCATCGTGGACACTTGAAGATGTTGATTTGGTCGACTTGCTCGGCGTGTCGTTTGACGCAAGGCTTACAAAATGTGTGGAAACAAGACAAGACCTTTGGTTCACTGAAAGTATCATTACACAGGGAACATTGGAGTTCYTTCTTAAGATCTTCAACAAACGATTCCATGTCTTYAGRAGTTGAGATGAGTTGAGGGTGTTGYCTGAATAATGTTGTTTGTCAGTCTATTGTCAGGCGATTCTTGGAAATGAGCGTGACCTTACTTCCTTGAAATGATGTCACGCCATAAMTGCATAATTTAGCAGAACATTTCTTTTCATTGGTTCCCTACCYGAGTTACTGCAGGGGTTTTAGTTCTGAAACTAAAGGCAAATTCACTWACATTGAAAAGGACAAGACACACTCAACAMTCTCCCGCAAGCCGTACCGTTCATTTGTAATCAAGGGAGGGGGGAGGGACGAAAGCATTTGATAATCCATAAAGGAAACCTGGACGCAGAGAGCTGCTCGAAAAAGATTTTAATTGAAGAAATTTATCATCAAGGATATCATTTAGTCGCACACATTTCTGATAAGGTCACATACAATGGAAACTTTCTACTATTTTTTTTTTAGACACAAGAGTCCTTGCAAGGTTTCCTAGAAATTCAACTATAAAACAACTTAAGGATTGTGAAAGCAGTAAAATATGAACATCTGAAGAATAGACCAAATCTAGATCAAGACTCAATGAAAGATGAATTAGCAACCAATGCAGTCAAATTTTATAGTTATTTCGGAGAGGATTACGATGAAAACTTTCACCACTTCTTAACATAGAGTAGGGTTTACGCATACAGGGTGAGATTTACATGCATGCAAGATGAGATTTGCATGCATGCAAGATGAGATTTGCATGCATGCAAGATGAAATTTGCATGCATCTAAGGTGAGAATTGCATGCATGCAGGGTGAGATTTGTATGCATACAGAGTGAGATTTTTATGCATGCAGGGTGAGATTTTTCCATGTATTCTGGAAAAATGTTTCATGCATGTGGATACATATTTGCATGCCACTATGCACTCATATCTTCTTAAAAAGATTAATTTGGAGGTTTTTTCGATTGACAAGGTTCTGGGTTACATAACATCATTTCATAATGTTATTCATTTTGCATCAGTTTGAAATTTTTATATTAAAACTGGATCACCAACCAATCAATGATAATCTTGTTATAAATTAATGCAACTCAACAAAATAATAAAATTGATAAAAACAAAACAAAACAAAGTCGAGATGAATAGTCAATATTGAATCAACCACTAATTAATTGTACATCAAAAGATATCAAAATATCTTAAAAATCAAAGAATTTTATAAATTACATATATGACTTTATTATACTCTCTCCCTTTTCTCTACCCCTTGAATGTTTCACCATCAATTTCCCTACCCTTCCCATCTGCACCCATTCCTCAAMAATGGATTTCACTATTAATACAAACGAAACAGTTCATGAAACACAGTTTTAACAAGCCTACTCTAACCTAAACTACTCTTCTCTCATCCAATTCCTTGTACGCGTTGCATAACCCTACCTATCGACTCTGTCTGTACCGTGGATGAAATCTCTATACATAGAACACTCTCTCTGACACTTCTCCGCCCCTCCTCTCTCTTCTTTTAAGTAATTCTCCATGTGTCCCTTCTCCATTCTGTCCCATCCTCCATCGTTTATTCACCAAATCCCTTCCTTGATTCTATACACAGAACGCACTCTCTGACACTGCTCCGCCCCTCCTCCCCATTTTTTTTTTTTTTTTT